TTTCGCTCTAAATGTGATTCTAACTAGAAAAAAATGAATCAAAATTAATGTGCTCATAACACACACACACACACACGCACATTGCATGAAAAAAAGAAGAAATTTTATTTATTTTATTGTGAATTGAATTTTTTACTTTCAACAACAACAATCAAAACTCCTCGTGTGTTAGCAAAAGAGATTTATAGTCCATCAGTAATGAAAAAAAAACTTTTCTTTGAAAAGGATTCAAGCTTTAAGTTGAAAAAAAGTTTACGAATTCCAGTATTTATGTACGTATCGGGGAATATGATCAAAAAAAAAATCGATCTTAAAAAATGATCGAAATACAGTTATAATACTCGACTATACGACGACAACAACGGCGATAATGTATAATCCAAGATAATTCATCATTTTCTTGGTTGAAACTTTTTTTTCGAGTTTTTTTCAGTTTAACCGTATATATAAAAATACGTCATAAGTATAAAAATAATTAATGGGGTAAATGGATGATGACGGGCCATACAAAACAATGTACAGAAATACAGTACCAAAAGACATGACTAGGATAAGGAAGGAATGACGTGCCAAAAATTCTCGGACAAAAACCAATTCATCATCATTCGACGTATGGTGGTGGTAGTGGTGGTCGTTTATTTTCTTTATGCTTGTTCGTTATTGTTCATGGGGTGTTCTAAAACTTTGAATTAATTCTTGTCCTTGGATCTTTATTGATGATGGCGGTTGTTGTTGTTGTTGTTGTTGTTGCTATTCAATGTATCGTCATCATCATCATTATCCCCACAAATCGTCGTTTGTTCTGGTTTGTTCATCATCATCATTCAAAATGGGCGTCCGCCACACTCACACACACACACACACATTCCTCATTCAGTGTGGACCATTAGTGGAAGACTAGAAAACCAGAAAAAACGCGAATGATGACAGATTGAAATGGGGCGTGAAAAAAATGTGGATCAAACAGAAAATACTGGCACCAAAAAAAAAAAAAAAAATGAAAAAGACAGATTCACATCCATTTATTTTCCTGATCGGTTTTTTTCCTCTTTTCTTCTTTTTTGTTATTATTATTATTTTTGTATGGCCCACAAAAAAAATATTTGCAAATAACGGTGGTTTATTATAATTTATAAGCTTCAACAATGACGTCCAAACCTGGCCTTACTCCTCTTGTTTTTTTCTTATATATTATGTACCCTACATCGCCATATTTCAATAGCATCAAACAATCTGTGTAGAAGGTATCAGATCTTATAACGACATGTAATGCGGTTAATAATGGAACATTTACATTGTGACGTTTGTCATCATTTTGAATTGGCTGAAACGAATATCTTTTTTCCTTTTATATATTTTTCATACATATATAAATGAAGGCATTTTGGTGGTTGCCTTATATTTTTTTTGACTTAGAAATACATAGTGAAGAAAATGGTTGAATAATAAATCAAAAAGCAAATTAATACACACACACACACACACATACGTAGTCATAGAATAAGAAAAACAGATGAACGAAAAGAAATAAAAAGAAAAAGAAGAAAACGAATTTTAATGTGTACTTGACAGCGACCAGAATATATATCATTGTGCCAACATTGTTCTAGATCCATTCATCATTCGATATTTCATTCTTTCTCTCTCCCTGGGTCTCTTTCTCATTTTTATTTCTATTCAAACCATAATAATGATGATGATGATGTATAGCAAGCTTCTTGTATGCAATGATAGAATTTGCCAATTTTCTACGTGGTATGTATATGTGTTGACGATAGCAAAAAGACCACCATAATTCTAATTATATTTTGTCATCATCATCATCATCATCATCATAATATTGTAATGGAGCAAAAAAAAATGTGGCAAATACATATATATATAGTAGCCATAGACCACATAAATTGAATTTTGTTTTTTTTTTACTATATCCATTTTGCTTTTCATGTTGCACATATTAGTTTATCGTTTTGTTGACGTATAACACGTCATAAATCACAACTGAATGAACAAAAAAAAAAAAAAGAAAAAACATTACCGGATAAGAATTCATCAACAAATAGCTAATATTATCAGTTTAGAAAAAAAACTCCGAATGTAAGCGTTTTTGTTTATCAAAATCATCATCTTCATCATCGTCGTTTTTGAATTATTTTGTTATATCAGCAACACACATACACACAGTAGAAGCCAAGAATTTTTCATTCAAAATTCAAATGTATGTGTGTGTGTGTGTGTGTGTGTTCATATCTGTATCTCATTGACAGATTGTTGAATTCAAATCTTCATCATTTAAACCTGTAAGAAAATGTTTTTGTGTGGATTAGACAGGATTGTTTGAAAAGAATTTTTTATTTCTTCTTTTTTTTCTTCATTCTTCATTGCTATAGTAGTGTGCTTAATAACATGTATTCGGAAGCTCTTGAAAAGAGTATGTATGTGTGTGTATTGCTTGTGTATTAAGTAATTAAGACATCAATCAAATGCCTGTTGATGGGTTTTTTCTTTTTTTTTCTTTTTCTCCCTGCTATTCATCTTTTTTGTAGGTATTGCTTGTTGCTCATAAGATTTTAATTCACACACACACACACACACTTACAAAGCAAAGACTTGGTTGTTGATGAATAAATGACTGACATAGTGAATGACAAGATGAAAGGATATATATAATATAATGTAAGGCAATGTAGTTGTTGTTATTATTATTGTTGTTGTTGTTTTGTTGAACTGATGTTGAACGGATGGATGGATAGATGAATGAATAAATGAATGAATGAATGACAGTTATCGCAATTTGACATCACAAAAAAAAGCTCGATTCTTTTTATAAGAATTCACTCAGTAGAATCAAATTGTTTCTGTTCTTTTTTGTTATATTCATGTTTCATTCAATGATATTTCTTTAGAACAGAAAATCGAATCATTTACAATGATAAGTGAATGAATGAATGAATGAAAAAAAATTCTTTGTCAACAATAGTGAATAAATAAATGAATAAAATGTCACCAATGTTTTCAATATTGTCATCATCATCATCATCAAATAAAATTTGACACGGCTTGTCAATCTTTATATTCATTCATTAAGGTTCTTCATTCCTTTCTCCTTCATCATGATGATGATGATGATGATGATAATATGTATTGCACACCGGAATTCATCTATTCTTCTCAATGTTTTTTTTTTGATTCGTCGTCAACATAATATGGAAAATCATCATCAACATCAACATCATCGTTCATCCAGAAAAAAAATCTTTCAAAAGCTTGATATCATCTGTCTTGTGTCATTCTTCAATTTGATTTGTAAGTTGAATAGAGAAAAGAGATCATGATGATGATGATGAAGAAACAAAAAAAAAACGAAGAAACATGGCCGTAATTTGATATTTTTTTTTCTCTCTCTCTCTCTCTTTTCGTTCCTTTATATTTCACCGAAATCAGACTTTTATTTCGGCATTTTTTTTCTCATTCATTCTTCATTTTATCATTACCATTAAGACATGAATGGAATTATCAAAAAAAAAAAAAAAACAAAATACAGTGGTGGAAACCACGAAAAAAAACGATCGTTGATCGTTATTCAGACAAAGATTGTGTGTGTGTGTGTGTGTGTATCAAATTCAGAATTTAAAGTGTGCAAAAAAAGATTTTTTTCTAAAGATAAAGCACATATAAATTCGGAAAAAAAGAAGCCGCAAACAAAAAACAGTTATATTGAACTCACTAGCTTGTTTCAGTTTTTTTTTTGTTGTTGAAAAAATGATTGAAAATTGTGACATTTTTGTTCGTTCATTTTTCATGTTTGAAAATATTTAATATATGGAAATAATGTTGCCAACAAATTAGCTATATTTAACATATGAATAAATGAATGCAATGCAACAATAAAAATAAAATATATGAATACCAAACAACAACAACAACAACGATGACGACGACGAGCAGAGACATTTTTTTTACAGAAAACATGAAAGATAGAAACCAGGCATATGGAAATCACTTGTTTTTTTTTATTTTTTTTTCTTCTCCACATCAATGAATTAGATACACACAAGAGTGAAAGATTGAGTTAGCAAGCATGTTGAAACACAAATCATTTAATTCTCTCTCTCTATATCCACATAAATAAAAAAAAAATTCCTTCAACAATCCATAAATCATTCTTTCATCTTTTTTTTGCTATTCATAGTGATTCTAGTCTAACATCAAGATCGGTTTGGATCAGTTTTAGTATTCAAAAAAAAAAAAAAACTGAGATAGAAATAAATAGAAAATCATCATAACAAACAAATACAACAAGAATGACAAGAATTTATTTATTTCATCTATTTTAGTCAATTATTTATATTTATTCCTAATAAATGATTTGTTTGATAAAACTAAAAATAAAAAAAAATAAATAAATAAATGTCATGTTGTTTATCGATGCCAAGAATGAAAAGGCTTCCAAGTTCAAACACTCATCAACATCATTATTATTTAAATCAAAACAATTGTTGTTTGTGTTGTCTTGTTTTTTTTCCATCATTATCATCATGATCATTATCGAATTTACACATTTCTATACACAAAATTCTATTCAAATGATTAAATTCTATTTTCATATTTTTTTTCATATGATTATGAAAAAAAATAATCCTCAAATTATCATGAAAATGATGTCAATAATGTCAACCATCATTTTTACACACCGACACACTTGCCAAATTTGGCCCATTTGAAATGATGATGAGCCAAAAACAAATGTCAAACGGAAGATATGTTTGTCATTTATAAATTTTTTTTTTCATCATTGTTTTTCACGCTTTATTTTATCGTCATTTTGTTCCGATAATTAATAATTAGTAAGAGAATATATAATATTGTATTACACAGAAATTTTTTCTCCATTGTGAGTGACATTACATGACATTCATTCTGAAACACTAGAAAAATGCCAGAAAAAAAATATAATAGTGATAATAATTAAAAAGACACAGAGAAAAAAAAAAGAGACGAAATATTTTACAAATTGAAAATAATGAGAAAAAAAATCAGGCTTTTACAATCATCATCAATGATCAATTAATCAATCCAAAAAACTATAAGATCAATATGGCGAGAGAATACAAACAATTAGAAAGGCAATTAATGTTGTATTGTTGGTGTGTTTGTGTGTGTGTGTGTGTGTGTGCATTTTATGGTGGTACCGGTGGTCCAATACGACCGGCAAGAAAATTTGGTGGCGCTATAAATGGATAATAAAAATTTGATGGAGATGGTGATGGTAAACCAGCAGCAGCAGCCGCTGCAGCTGCTGCTGCAGCCGTAAATGGTGATGGTGTCGTTCCTGTTAAATGTGGATGTTGATGAGGATTATGATGGCCATATGGTCCAAGACCAACGCCATTCGTCGTAGTACCGTTTAGGCCAAATAATGATGCTGCCGATGTTGGTGCCACTGTGAGAGGGAGTGCCGATGCTGATGAAACATTGGTTGTACCTGAAGCTGATGATGTAGTAACTGTATTATTACCATTCGATAAATTCATTGATTTTGAATAAGGATGATAACGATGATTACTATGATGATGATGAGATGATGGTGATGGACTGGCCGTAGATGATGATGATCCATTAATTGAAGCTGTTCCTGCACGACTACCAGCCGATGGTGATGGTGTTCCGGTTATCGATGGTGAATGTTGCTGTTGATTGTTTATTGATGGTGACGATGAACTTGGATTACGACTATTATTAGCCGATGAGGATGTATCATTCAAATTATTTGTTGCCGTTGATGATGTGTGCGTTTTTAGATGTTGTAATAATTCTTCACTATTATTGAAACGTTTTCCGCAATGATGATTATCACCAATTATCCAATTGCACACATTTCCTGCTGTGGCGGTTGGTGCTGCTGAAGCGGCTAAAGCTGCAGCAGCCATCATACGTTGATGATGTTGTTGTAATGCGGCTGCAGCAGCCAATGATGATGCATAGGCATTACTTGCCGCTGCTGCTGCCGATGGTGATTGCAGAACACCGTATCCGGTGCCTAAAGCGGCAAATGAATTTCCATATACAGCAGCTAACGTAGCCAAATAACGTTGATGTTCACATTGATTACAACCATTTGGACATGTTGCAGGTGTACATGGTGTGTTTGATGATGATTGAGTTGAATTATTTCCAACCGCCGATGATGTGCCATTTGATGCAACGGCTTGTGAAGAAGAATGGCCATTGGTGTCAACCCTATGGTTTGTACCGGTAGCAGCAGCCGATGGAGGTGTTGTTGATGTCGAAGATGCAGAAGATGATGCTAAGGCCACCAATGCTAATGGATGATGTTGACTATTATGTTGAAGTGGACCACATTGTCCAGCACAATAAGGATCACGACAATGTGGATTTGAAACAGCACCGGTAGCGGGCATCATTCCTTTAACTCGTTGTGAATAATTATAAGCTGCTAAAGCAGCAGCAGCCGTCGCTGGTGGTGTTGGTGGATATATCGATGGATAGGCACCGGTTTTATCCAATGCTATTGGTGGCGGCATTAATGATGGATATGGTGAGCCAGGTGTCGTTGTTGGGCAACAATTTGGTGCTAAAAATCCATAAGCTTTATAGAATGCAGCCAATGAATCTTTATGCATATCGGGTAGACCTAAACTAGTATAACTGAGCGGTTGTGCCGATGATGTTGATGACGAAGTTTTATTATTATTTTCCGACGATGGTGATGGCACTTTATTATTATTTGAAGAATTTGGCGTTAATGATTTCAATGGTGATGATGTTGATTTATCTCGTTCATTTGTTAATTTTCTATGATGATGATGATTAGTTTCATAAGGCTTGAAATTGAGCTTTGAATGATGATGATGATTATTATTATTATTATTGTGATGATGATTATGATGATGAGAACTAGAATCTAGAAAATAATCATTTGATGATGATGTGGATTTTGTTTTTGGTGTCGTTCGTCGATTATTATTATTCATTGTTACATTAGAATCATTATTCGAGAAAGAACCATTCGATGATGTTGATGATGATGATGATCCGGATGAATTATTTGTCGAACCATTCAATGATTTTAGATTAGGACTATCAACACCAATGCTTGAACAGGTTTTAGCTAATAATGCCAATGGACTTTTATTTGCGTCCAACTGTGAAATAAATCAAATGAAAAAGAAGAAAAAAAAAGAAATTAGTCAAGCCATATTCAAATATGCATAGCTGTCATTCAAAATATATACGGTAAAAAAAACGGTAAGGCATTTGTATCTATTATTTAACAATTTTATCATTCTAATATGATTTTTGTTGTTGTTGTTGTTGTTAGAATGAAATTTGATCCAGTAATAAATTTCGGCCAATTTTTCGCGAAAACGAACACACACATACATACAAAAGACAAGGCGACTTCTGGAATTCGTATAACGTCATTGTGAATAGATTTTTTTTTATTTTTTACTGCTTTGTATATGTATGTGTGTGTCACAAATGTTTGGACCTTAATAAATTTCTTCATTTTTTTGCAGCATTGATATCATTTATATATTCGATGGCCAAAGAAACCGATCAGTCATTTCCAAGTGACTAACCAACAATAACAACATGCTATACACGCACATGTTTTATATATCTAATGGATCGGTACGTCAGATACAGAATTGAATATATATACCAATGCAGGAAAAAAATACACGAACAATCAATATATCAATTCATTTTATTTGGCCTTCTTATACATTAAATGGTGTCAAATATCCAACACACTATTGAGAGAGGGGGTAATGTAATGTATTGAAATGATGAAAATAATAAATAAAACCCGACTCAAATTGCCATGGACAGGCGAGAAAAAAAAGAAGAAAAATTACTTGCAAAGAAAAAATGGTAAGCCAGTTACGATTACGACGATGATTATGATGATGATGATGACGACAAAAACGATTACCGAAAAGAGATTTAGTCCGAGAGTGAGGGAGGAGAGCGAGAGAGAGAAAAGCCAATCCAACCCAAACAATTGAATGGACCAAACATCAAATGACCGGTCAGGCAAACAAATATACGGAAGATATATCTAGTCAAGGGTCAAGTCAATCACTCATATCTTTGCATATAAGACCTTGCAATACACCCTCTATTGATTCACTTATAAACAATCTCAATCATTCATTCTCATGGGGACCAAATATATATACTATTGCTTATTTCGATAATGGATGAACCAAATGATTGTATATAGATAGCCCGTAATTTGGATAAGTGAAAGAAAAATATCAACAATAATCACCGCCAACATGTGGTTCAAATACACATACATATCTAATCAACAACACCATTGATCATCATGAATGACATGACAAAAAAAACATTCCAATTGATCAAACATAAAAATTCATTGAACAAAACCAATAGAATAAAAGAAAAAGGGTATAATGTTAACGACAAGGATCAACAATCAATTTGCGATGAATGGAAATAAAATATAAAAAAAAATTGGTAAAAAAAAAGAAAACCAGACAACAAATCTTATAAACAGCTATATATCATTCATTATGGACGATAAATTACATGTTACACACACACACACACAAAAAAAAAACAAAAAGCACAGCATGGGCCATTCCGATTCAATTCAATTCATTTTAACATGTGTTCCACAGTGGAGAGGAAAAAAGAAAAGAAATTTTTTTTTTAATTTTCAAAACTAACAATGAAAAAAAAATCCAATAATGATCTATATTCGTGCGTGTGTTATAATACACTAAATCACCATCATAATACACAACGGAGACATATCAAACATATCAATCAACGGTGGGAGAAAAGAGAGAGAGAGAAAAAAAAAAAACGGATAAGACACGTGATCGTAATCGTGATTTAATGTTTGATTCATGTTGTATTTGTGTATATTATATTATATCCCATCTTCATCACTATTATTATCATCATAAATAAAAAATGAATAAGAAATTTGTTGCAAACATTAGGATATACCGATTGATGATGCCATAGCAGCAATCATCGATCATAGAAATCATTAAGTTAACCGTATTACAGTAGATGCTCGACTTGCAAACATTCAACTTACGAACATTCTTCTGGAATGCAATTGTTCGTAAGTAGAGTAACTACTGTATACCACCACATAAGCCAAAAGAATTTTTTCTTCAAAAAAAACCTGGAAAATAATTTTCTTTTTTTTTTGATGAAGTAAGCCAAAAATTTTAAACTCTCTCTCTCTCTCTCTTTTTAATATAAAAATACATTTCGTATGATCATATATGTTTGCTGTGTTGTTTTTTTTTTGTAAAAAAAGAAATTTTACAATCCAAAATGAAAATGAAACGAAAATAAAATAAGGGCCAAAAAAAAGAAAAAAAATTTTTTTTTCTGTACAGCTTTGACAACAACAACAACAACAATTTTATAACTTTTGGTAATCATCATCATCATCATCATAATCATTTAGATTCTTTTTTCCTATTCGGTTGGGTGTTATGGCCAACAACAACAACAACATGGTCTATGTGAACAGTGAAAAAAAAAAAAAAAAAAAAATTATGGATAAAAGTGTAGTAAACTTTAACTACTTTTTAGGGTTCATATATCGTTACATACATACATTCACACACACACACACACACACACACATGTACATTGATAATTTATTATGGCTAATATTAATTTATTTATTTATTTTTATGGCTTCAATAAATAATCCTATAGTAAAGCTATATAAAAATAATATTGCTTTCCCCCTCTCCTCATTGCCCATCATCATCATCATCACCATCACACACAAACTCCCCTTCCTCTTTTTTTTTCCCCACCTATGGATAGTAAAAACACATAGCCAAGTTATAGAATGGTTCCAAATGATGATAATAATAATAACAACAACAACAACGAAAGCGACAACATTAAAAACTCTTGGTCATCATCATCATCATCATCAATGGATTCAAAATTATAACATGATTAAAGAGAAAAGGAACAAAAAAAAAAAATGGTAAATGGTGTGCATGTGTTTCGGTTATATAATCATCAAACATAATCGTTGTTGGCTAGATGTATATATATACACTATCAATGGTGTAATAAAAAATGATACTCCAAATAATAAAAAAAAACTAACACATGATACATAAGTATTCTTGAATTTTAGAATCAAGTTCTAAAATAAAATTATTATCATCATCATTCTTTTTCTTTTTGTTGAACCATGAATTTGAATGAATAAACTGAGATAGAGCAAAGATGTGTATGTGTGTGTGTGTGTGATAAAAAATAATAATTTTATTTTTCAATATAAAATGTAAAAGTAATAAAAAACATCAAAAAATAATGAAATTTATTAGTGTTTTACACACACACACACACACACAACTCTATGAATGAATGTTAGTTTAGTTTTAAAAATTTTAATTGTTTAATTTCTTTGAAAATTGACATCAGTAAAAAAAAGGGAATGTTGTCAATCATTTTTGAATGGAAAAATTCTATTAATCCTAAGATAAATTCAACATAAATCAAACACACTAGAGTTCCATGAAACGAAGCAAAAAAAAAAAAAAAAAATAAGATAAGGACCAAGAAATTTAGGATCGACATGTCCATACAAACAAACAAACGGCACACACACACATGCACAGGAAACACAAATAAATTTCATGAAAAAAAATGACAAGATCGTGATCTAGTACCTAGTGAGACTCTATTCTATTGTCCATGCACAATTTAGACTATAACCTCAAGTAATAAAATGAGAAAAAACACGCGTTAAAAAAGTAAAATTTATGAGAATCTCACCTCAAACACATACACACACACACACACATCAATAAAGGATTAAAGATTTCACAGACAAATATTCAAAACATACACATACACAACACGATAATAAAAATACAATGGTGGTGGTGGTGGTGGTGGTGGGTAGACATAATAAAATATGGGTTCCTTTCGCAACATACAAAACCAAAAAAAAAACCAAATAATGATGATGATTAAATGAATGGTCTTGTATATATATATGTGAAACAACTAAACAACAACAGCAATAATAATAAAAAATCAACCAAAGACTCTAACAAAAAAAAAAAAATAAAATAAATGATGGGTGTTTTGGTACCAATAAATTATTACTATTATTGCAGGTAAATAATTTGTGTGTGTGTGTCAGATTTAGCCACACAGACACACAATACATACCTGTTTGATTTGACTTGTTTGTGTGTGTGCTTATATATTATAAAATATTACCCGTCTAATTTTTTTCACAAAACAAACACACACCATAACCGGCCTTCGACAAATAATAACATGATTATTAGGAGAGAGAAAAAAAATTTACACACACACACAGAGACCCAGACAAGCAGACATGGGGGGTCACAGGTCATAAGCACATAAATCATTTAAAAATTATTCTATATGTCCATTATCATTATTATTATTATTATTATATATCAATGATTATGGAAAACTAGATCAATTCAACACTATCAATATATTATTATGATCATCATCATCATCATCACAGATCGTTAATTTTTTTAGCTATCAAAAATGTGATACAGCGCTGCTACCAATATGAGAATAATCATCATCATCATCATCATTTGATGTTAATTATAAATCTGGTGTACACTTTTGTGTTTTATTACAAAAAAAAATTATAATCATAAACAAAAACAAAAAAAAAAAACACAAATAAACCTCATATATACAAACTTTCACAAACATAGAAAGAGAGATAAAAAAAAGAAATGATTTATATATCAATAATGTGATTACCATATAATAATAATCATAACCTTATTATCATTATTATATGTGTGGATAAGAACTTCGACAACGATAACTGGCAACAAATCTAATCTATTAATCCATTCAATATATATAGATTTTAGCTTCTTGAAAAAAAAACTCTCAATCAGTTACAATTATTAGCCATAACAAATAATAATAATGTTGATAAAGTGGAAAACAGAACTCTAATTCATCAACATGTAGTTTCTTTTTCGCAAAAAAAAATATCGTAATAAATTTTCATTTGTGACACACATTCTTGTTCTTTGTGTGTGATGATGATGATGATGATGATGATGATGATGATGATGAAAAAGAAATTCGTTTTTTATGATGATGAGCA